ACAGCTCGTCACAATCACGCTTTGGTGCACACACACGCACACACACACACACACACACACACACACACACACACACGCACACACACACACACACACACACACACACACACGCACACACACACACACACACACACGCACGCACGCACGCACGCACACACACACACACACACGCACACACACACACACACACACACACACACTCACTCACTTGCCACAAGGTCAACAAACCCGTATCTGGAACAAAATCACTCACCTTGCAACGCCCATGGCATGGCAGTGACCATTCAGCCACGTGGGGTGCCTTCCTGCCCTGCACCCATCCACCACATCTGTACTCACGCCAAGCATCCTCCTTCCCTTCCAACCCAACGCACCTGCCCTTCCATCAATAACCCTGCATTGTCCACTCCATGCGCATTCACTCCTCGCCAAACACCACACACCACCTACCACCCATCATCACTCTCTACTCACCACCCATGCCTACCGCTGTGTTCCTGGCAGGGCAACATTCTCTACACGTTCCCGCTGCTGCAGCGCACGGCCAGCAATGGCGCAGGCAAGCAGCGCAAGCAGCCCAGCCCAGCACTAGACCCCGTGCAGCAGACACGCTACTTCGCTGAAAGCCTCTGGACCTTCAGGTAGGCTGGAGTCACTTTGGAGAATTCTCTAACAGTGACCTTAACAGGCAAGCAGCGCAAGCAGCCCAGCCCAGCGCTGGACCTCGTGCAGCAGACACGCTTCTTCGCTGAAAACCTTTGGACCTTCAGGTACCCTGGGCTGCTCTCAACGTCCCTCCCCCTCCCCCCCCCCCCCCCCCCCCCCTCCCCCCTCGCTCCCTCTTTCTTCCGTCCCTCACTCTCTCTTCCCCGCCCTGCCTAGTCGTTCCTGTCCACACATTCAACGGAAGGAAGAACAATCTCCTGCTGCAAGCAAATCTCTGGAATGACCTGTTAACATCCTTCGTGGGATAAGCTCTGGAATCGTTTCTCTCATTCCATCCGCCGTCTCCTCCTGTTTCATCTGCTCTCCTCCCATCTCCTCCCTCTGCCCGCTCCCCTCCCCTCCTCTCCCTCCTCTCCCTCCTCTCCCCTTACTCCCCTCCCCGCCCATGCTCCAGTGAGGCCCCGGTATGGAAGCGCACGCTAGCAGCGGGGCTGGGCGTGGTGAACGTGGTGGGGGTCGTGTGGCTCTCCTCCCTCCTCAGGTACCGTTTGGCTCTCCCCGCTCCTCACAAGAACTCGTTACAATCCCGCCTAGAATGACTTTCGAGACTTCCCCAAATTCGTTTCAGTCCAGTGACTTTTGAGTCGACTCAAGGTGACTTTTGAGTTGACTCAAAAGTGAGGCGTCCCAAAATTCGTTTCAGTCCAGCTTAGAATGGCAGTGTTGACCAAGTGAAGCTGTCAGCAGTGTTGTTCTTGACTCTTCCTCTGCGTACTTGATCGCGCATACTGCTTCGCTTCCGCTCCATTTCATCCTCTTCGTCCCTCCCTCCCCACCCACCTGTCCGTCTATTCCTCCTTCTGGTTTCTAATCCTCTCCACCTCTTGTCGTCGTCGCTGTGTGTGCCTCTGTCTGTCTCTTTCTATCTGCCTCTCTGCCTACCTGTACCTTTCCGTACCTGCCTGTGCGTCTGTGCGTCTGTGCATCTGTCTGTCTGTCGTTCTCTCTCCCCCCCCCACAGCGATCCAGCAATAGTGCGGGAGGCAGGAGTGGAGTTTGTTCAGCTCATCTCTTCGCTCATGCCATGGCTGCATTTTGAGGCGCCTCAAAAGTCATCTGTGTGTGTGTCGTTCTCTCTCCCCCCCCACAGCGATCCAGCAATAGTGCGGGAGGCAGGAGTGGAGTTCGTTCAGCTCATCTCCTCGCTCATGCCATGGCTGCAGGTAACCCACTCATGCCATGCTTGCAGGTAACCCACTCATGCCATGCTTGCAGGTAACCCACTCATGCCATGCTTGCAGGTAACCCACTCATGCCCATTCATGCACCACTTTTTCCCTTCGCACAGCCTTTCCATAGGCTCCAACTCTGCTTGTTCCTTTCTCGTTTTGCATACTCGTTTCCATTCTGCTCCTCTTCCCCAACCCCTTACCCTGTTTGCCATTCTAACTTACTCATCTTCTTCCGTTTCACTCCCCCTTATCCTTCCCCCCCTCCTCCACCTCCCCCCCCTCCGCCTCCCCATCCGCCAGGGCTATGCAGCGGTGTTCTTTGCCATCCCTGCAGTGCGCTACCTGCAGCAGCAGCGTTGAGTCAACTAAAAGTTCGCCTCACTTGCCCCCCACTTCCCCCCGTCCTTCCCCCCATCCGCCAGGGCTATGCAGCGGTGTTCTTCGCCATCCCTGCAGTGCGCTACCTGTGGCAGCAGCGCGCCAATGAGACCATCGCTCTGCGCAACTCCCGCCGCCAGGAGAGCGCTCTGCAGCTCGCCCAACCCAACGCCCAGCTCCGCCGCAAGGTGGGTTGTAGAGGATCTTTTATTGAGGCGCTGCAAATCTTTGAGTTTATTCTAGGCGCCTCACTGATCAACCGCAGCTCGCCCAGCCCAACGCTCAGCTCCGCCGCAAGGTGCGCAGGAGGGGGCGAGGTGGGCAAGAGAGTGGGAGGTTTCTGTTCATGTGTGTCATTCATTCTAGACAAACTGAGACGCAGTTTTTTTTTTTTTTCCTTGAGACAGCAAAAGTGGGAACTAGGTGGCCTTGTGTGCATGGGAATGATGATTTACTGATGAATGGATGCGGATAGTGTTCGATGTGGTGAGGAGGAGGAGGAAGGAGGGCCCGTCCCGTGTGCATGCTATACCACACCACATGTGCAGCTAACAGTGCTGCTCGGTATCTGGTTATGCACAGTAATCCCCTCTCGTCCGGCTTCCGTTTCCCACCCAAACACCCTCTCCCTTCTCCTCCTCCTCCTTCCATTTCCCCCCCTCCCCACCCCTCGCCTCCCAATACCACTTGGTAAACGCACGAGAGCAGGCATCCAGCACAGTGTTATCAGACGCGAGGGAGATTGTGAGTGAGCAAGAAGCTGGCGAACACCTTCTCCTTTTATTTCTTCCCACCTCTCCCCCCCCCCCCCTCCCTCCCCCCCCCCCCCCCCACCTTCCCATTTCCAGTTGGCGAACGCACGGGAGCAGGCGCGCAGGTATCAGAGGACAAGGTCATTTACACCACACCACAAATACACCCTCTCCCTACACGGTGGTAATCACGCTCTCCCTTCTTGTACTCCCTGCCTCCCCTTACCAGTTGGCAAACGCGCGAGAGCAGGCGCGCAGCACGGTGGTATCAGAGGACAAGGTGATTTACACCACGGCCAAGGACGTGGCAGAGCAGGTCCCTCTCATCCCGCTTCCCTTCCCACTCAATCACCCTCCCTTCTCCCCACAACCCCCCACCTTCCCGTTTCCAGTTGGCAAATGCGCGAGAGCAGGCGCGCAGCACGGTGGTATCAGAGGACAAGGTGATTTACACCACGGCCAAGGATGTGGCAGATCAGGACCTCGAGGCCCGCGAGTGGGAGCGGAAGCTGGACGGCCGCTGATGGGGTCACACGTGGTAGGGCGGGTGGCACGTGTCAGTGAGGTGTTGGTGACACGTGTCAGTGAGGTGACACATGGCAGGGCGGCAACATGTGGCAGGACAGCGACGTATGGGCACGTCAATTATGCTGCCGTGGGATGGTTAATCAACCGTCGTAGCTTGAGGGAGTGTGTTGCACAGCCAGTGGTGTCACATCACATCACATCCCATTCAACCAAACCCTGCTACTGCTCTTCATGACTTCTGTGGACATACGCCCGTGCTGACGGTATCTGCCCAAATGCTGTGAGGAGGGGGGTAGGTGGTTAATAGTGTGTACATTCAGGTTTTTAAATTATCTGGAGAGGTGTGGTGAGGTGAGGATTCTTAGTGACCATTGCTTATTTGTTATTTCTCTGGACTCCTATTGTGAAAGTGGTATCATATTCATGTAAGTCACATGCTTCATGCATCCCTCCCAAGCCCACCTTCTATATTACAACTTCTGGCTGGCTCCCATCCCAGCTGATGTTCCCTGCTTCGCTTCTACCATGGAGTCAGCTCACCACTGCAGTTCTACAGTCCAAATTGGGAATGGTCCTAGTAGAGTGATACCGTAATCCAAATCTAAAGATACCCAAGACGAGATAAACAGAGTAAGTAAACACAGGAATGCTTCTTGAAAAGAAAAAACCCATGTGGCTGGCAATGCCAATGTACAGAGCAAAGGTATATTCACTCACCCACGCAACACAGCCCACAGAATTTAAGAGCATTGGCACACTGACGTGTGCCATTTTCACTCACTCAACAACAGCCCCCACTCACAACACAAACCAACCCCTCCCCTCCCACCCATCCCTCACCCCCCAAACCCCCTTTCTTCCGCATAACTAGTGTAACTACCAACCTAAAACCCTCACACAAATCAGCCCTCTCACCCTCCCCCACACCCTTCTCCCTCCTTCCTCCCTTCTCAAATCCTTGCGTCACATATCTCCAACCATGGACCACCACCGCCCGCCCTCGATTCCTGTCGAGCAAACCGTCCACCACTGCTGCTGGCAGCTTCCTTCTCTCTGCATACACAGCTGAGATTTATCAAACGATGAATTGCACACACGCACACACACACTCCACTCCACTCCACTCCACTCCCCTTACACATACACATCACGCAGGTACAAGTGACTTCCAGCACAGATGCACGAGCAGAGTAGAGGGAGAGAAGGGAACCGCTGGGCGATGGAATCATGGGCACTGCTGCCACTAGAAAGTCGTGATACCGATGCCACCACCATGCTAACCCACATTCCACCAACGCCGATTGCACTGCTGCCACTCGCAGTGGCACTAGTGTCGGTACTGCTGATGCTGCTGCTGCTGCTGTTCGCAATGCTCGAACACCTTCCGCTAGTGCTAGTACTCATCACTCCGCTAACGCAACTCCTTCCGCTTAAAGCCCAGATTTCATAGGTGGGGTGAGATAGGGGAAGTCCCGCCAACACCGCCTCCTATGCCACCCTCACCACCACCACCCAGCCACACGCTCCCAGGAGAGCTGACCGTGCTGCTGCTGCTGGAGGGTAGAACCGACGTGGGTGACAGCCGCCCAGAAGAGGCCGCGCCTCCTGCTGCTGCGGCTGCAGTGGCGGCAGCGGCAGCAGCGGCGGTGGTGGCTGCTTGCATGGCGTTCATGCGTTGCTGCAGCAGCAGGATGCGCTGCTTGAGAGACGGGCCCAGATCCGCTGCTGCTAGAGACGCGCTCAGGGAGGAGGATGGCCGGCCTGCACTTGCTGCTGCTGTAGCGCCTGGAGGGCTAGTCTTGCTGCTGATGATGCTGCTGCTGGTCTTGCTGGTGGTATTGCCGGTGGCATTATTGATCGTGGTGGCATTGGTGGTGGTCGTGGTGGTACTGGTGTTGGTGGTATTGGTTCTCATGCTGCCTGCTGCGCTGCCGCTGCTGGTGACAGGGATGCTGTTTGTTGCATTGATGGCAGCAGCAGCACCGTCTGCAGCTGTGCTTGCAGCGTCCCTAGTGGTTACGGTACCTCTGCTACCCACAGCAGCTGTGCGCACTGTGCTTGCCTGTTGCTTCCCTTCCAAACCAGCACTTGCTGCTGCTGATGCTGCTGCTGTTGTTGTACCAGTGAGGTGGGAGGAAGGAGATAAAGGAGCAGCAGCAGCAACAGCAGCAGTGGAGGCAGCATTGGATTCAGCCGCCCGTCTGCTAGTAGCGGAAACACGAGAGTCTGTGGTCAGACATAAATACGGTGCTGCAACTGCTGCAGCTGCAGCTGTGGTTGATGGTGCTGGTGCTGGTGCTGGTGCTGGTGCTGGTGCGAATGGGTCTTCCACATTATGAGCTGCATCAAGACTTGAAGGCACAGAAGCAGCAGCAGCAGCAGCAGCAGCAGCAGCGGTTGAAGAGGTGGCGGCAGCAGCAGCATCTCGACTCAGCATATCCCTCCCTTGCTCCCTGCCTCGTTCTCTCGCCGCTTCCAACCCACCACCCCCACGCAGACCCCAGTCACCTCCCTCATCACCAGACACACCCTCCCCTTCAGAACCTCTAAGCCCTCCTCTCTGTGACACCCGAAACACCAATCCGTCCTTTCCTCTGTCTGCATGGGCTGCAACAGCAGGGATCTGGCGTGGAGAAGCAGGCACAGAAGTGCCGGACTCGCTGGTACTTCTGGCTGTGTGCCTGCCGTTTGCTTGTCTTGAGGTGCTGCTTGCGCCGCTGATGTTGCCACCCATCCAGCTGCTGCTGTTGCTGTTGCTGCTGTTGCTGTCGCTGGCCACCCCTGCTCTCCCGGACGTTCCTCTTTCCCCTGTTGCACGCTCTTCTGTGGTGTGCTCGCTAGCAGCAGCAGCGCCAGACGACCACTTGGGCCTGCTGCTTCCTCTGCTTGTGCTGCTCGTGTGTGCCTCGCTGCTTCCTCGCTTTTCTGCTTCAGGCTTTTTGTAATCTGCACCTGCAATTGCATCCGCTGCTGCTGCTGCTGCATCTGTGGTGGCACTCCTGCCACTGCTATAGGCATCTCCTTGAGCAAGACCGTTGGACTCGCCACCCCCTCGTGACCCCTTGGACCACCCCCTCCATCCATCCACACGTGTCTCCCTTCCCTTCCCACCATCTCCTTCCTCTGCTCTTGCCGCCCTGCCGTACCGGTCAGCACAAACAGCAGCAGCAGCAGCAGTAGCAGCACCATTAACAGCAGCATCACCAGCACCACAAGCACCAGCAGCACGGGCAGCAGCAGCAGTAGCAATAGCACCAACCGGCCTTACACTCTCTCTGTTAGGTGCAGGCTGCTCACGTCCCTTCCACCCCTCCCACACCCCCACCCTCGCATCAAACCCACCCCGTTCCCCATAACTCCTCCACTCATTCACCCTACTCTCTTCATTCCTCTCACTCCTCTTACTCTCTCCCCCTCCCTCCTCTCCCTCACCCTCCTCCCCACCCACCACAGCCTTGAGTCTCCACCCATGCTCCGTCCTCTCCTCCTCCAACTCCTCATCCACCGCACTCTCATCCTCATCCTCACTCCCTCCCACCCCCTCCTCCCCTCTCCGCCTCACCCGCACTCGCCCCATAGAGTCACACTCCTCGCCATCACACGAGCTCTCAGACCTCTTTTGAAGCACAGGCTCGAACAGAGAGTTCAAACCGCCCTGGCACTCCTCCAAACTGCTCCTCACTCCTGATTCTCCTCCTCCTCCTCCTCCTCCTCCTCCTCCTCCTCCTCTTCCTCCTCCTGCTCCCGCTGATGCCTTTCTCACAAGCCGGCTGCTGCTATTGTTCCCACCACCACCACCACCACCACCACCACCGCCACCGTGTTTCCCTCCCTCCCTGTCCCCGCCAATTCCTCCGCCTCGTCCTCTCCCACCACAACCATCCTCACCACCCTCCCCTCCACGTCCCCACCAAGCGCCGCTACCACCACCACCACCCACTCCACCCTCCTCACCACCACCATGCTTCCTCCCTTGTAACCCGTCTCTCAAACTCCCTCGCAAGCTCCCGTGCAGGCTCCCATGCACGCTCCCATGCACGCTCCCCACCAGGCTCTCTCTCAGGCTGCCCGGCAGGCTGCCCTGGCTGTGCATGCGACAGAAAGCATCTAACCCCAGGTTGTCGCTCCCCTGGTGCACCCTCACGCGCATCTCCTCCGCGGCCGCCTCTGCTGCTGCTGCCTCTTGGGGACTCTTTAGCCTCCGCATCATGCGCGCGCGTTCCCTCTCCCTCTCTCGTTCTTTCTCGAGAATCCGCTCTGCAACGCGCCGCCCTCGGTCCTGCTCCCGCTCCCTCTCCCTCTCTCTCTCCCGCTCCCGCTCTCTTTCCATCTCGCGCGCCCTCTCCCGCGCGCCCACCCGCGCGCTCTCCCGCGCGCTCTCTCGTTCCGCCTCCTCCTGCCGCTTCCGCTCCTCGCGCTCTCGCTCCCACGCCTGCCTTCTCTCCCGCTCCCTCTCCTTCCGCCCGCCTGCGTCTCCCCAGCCCCCCAGCTCTCTGCGCGCGGAAGAAGCGCCGGACGCGGGGGAACGGGCCCCGGATAGGGAGAGGGGGGGAGGGGGCGATCCGGCAGCAGCGGAGGGATGATTGGCGGAGAGGGGAAGAGGCGAGGGAGAGTGCGGAGGCGGAGAGAAGGACAGGCCGTGGAAGGCTGCCGCTGCGGCTGCTGCTGATGATGCTGACGATGATGCCCCAGCTGCAGCGGAGGAAGAAGCAGCACGGTAAAGGCGCCTGGGGATCTCCCCAGACGCCTGCAATGGCGGCGACGACGACGCCAGCAACGGTGGTGACGGTGGCGGCGCTTGAGCGAGAGCAGGCGGAGCAGGCACGGAGGAGGATGGCGCGTTCCTTGCCGACGGCGCTGCTGCCTCTGCTGTACTGGCACCAGCAACACCACCATCAGCGGCAGTAGTAGCGGCGGTGGTAGCGGCAGCGGCGGTAACACCCCTGGGGTGTGCGTGCAGGCGCTCCAGGCGCTCTATCTTGTGCTGCAGTGCTGCCAGCATGCTCTCCGATGCCTGCTTGGGACGAGCGACACACGCAGGGGAGAGTGTGAGAGTGAGTGAGTGAGTGGGTGGGTGGGTGGGTGATTGAATGAGTGAGCGAGCGAGTGGGCGAGGGCGAGAGGGAGCAAGAGAAAGAGCATGATGCGGGCGAGGCGACTCACCTTGCCTTCCATGCCGCGCAGCCTGCTCCGCAGCTCTTCCGCCTCTCTCTTCACCGCCACCAGCTCCTCCCTCTGCGCCTCCGCCTCCGCCTCTGCTTCCGCCTGCGCCTGCGCCTGTGCCTGCGCCTGCGCTGTCGAGCTCCCCTTAGCCCCATACGCCACCCCACCGGCGCCAATCTCTCCGCCTCCCCCTGCGACTCCCCCAGTGCTCTCGCTGAGCCACCTGCGCCTTTCTCTGCTCGCATTCCCCGCGCGCTGCTGGCTCCGCCGCTCCTCCGCCGCCACCTCCGCCCTGCGTGCGTCTGCTCTTTCCGCTTCCGCTTCCGCCTGCGCCCGCGCCCGGCGCGCAACCTCCGCCTCCGCTTCCGCCTCCCGCTTAGCCGCGAGCAGCCCCGCTTCCGCCTCGCGCTTCCCCGCGACCAGCTCCTCTATCTGCAGCAGCAGCGCCGCCTTCTCCCCTTCCGCCTGCAGCGCGCGGCGCTCCATGTCCGCCAGCGCCGCGGGGGGGGAGGGCGGGCGGAGCGAGGAGGTGGAGTGGGGGAAGCCGCCGCGCGCGGAGTCGGAGGTGGCGGAAGAGGAGGAGGAGGAGAAGGAGGAGAAGGAGGCGATGGAGGGCGCGGGGGAGGAGTTGGTGGAGAGATTGTGCGACTTGGCGCGCAGCTCCTCCTCCAGCTGGGAGACTGGAAGGAGGGAGGCAGAGGGGGAAGGGAACGGGGGGGGGGGGAAGAAAAAGGGGGGCACGCACGGGGTGGGGGGAGGCAGGAGCGAGGAAGGTAAGATTATGAGGCGAGGACGGAAAGAGGGAGGCTGGCGAAGTAGAGGGGAGAAAGAAGGGGACGTTTAGAACAGAACAAAAGGGGACGAAGAAGTGGAGGGGTGAAGCTCGGGCAAGGGCAAGCAAAATGGTTCGCAGGGGAGTGGGTAAGGGGAGGGAGGGGAGGAGGTGGGGAGGGGGGGAGAGGGGGAGGGAAGATGCGAGTGAAGAGAGGAAAGACAAGAGAAGTGATAGTGGAGAGCTGAAGGTGAGTGTGGGTGGAAAACGAAAAGGGCAGGATGGAGCAGAGGGAAGGAGAGCCCGAAGAGGTTGGGAGGAGGAAGAGAGATGGAGAGAGGGTGGAGGGAATACACAAGTCGACTGCAGCAGACGCAGCTCGTCCCTACCTCTGGCTTTAAGATTGGCAATGGTGGTGATGAAAACACTCTGGTTGCTGGCCGCAACAAAGAGCCCACACGTCGCACACCTCCCATCACCACCAGCAGCAGCAGCAGCAGCAGATGCAACACCACCACCACCACCACCACCAGCACCACCACCAGCAGCGGCAGTAGCACCGGTGGCTGTTCTGCCATCCCCGCCAGAAGCAGGCTTGTAGGGGCAGGCGCACAGAGGCAGCTTGAGCGGGATGTCACCTACCCCGGATCCGCCCTCCCTGGCTGCGACAGCCGCTGCTGCCATTGCTGCCACTGTCTCTGAGGCCTCCAGCAGCCTCACCCTGTCTCTCAGCTGTAGCACCTGGGGAAGGGGGAAGAGGGAAGAGGGGAGGGGAGTGGGGTTTGAGGAGCGGGGGGCAGAGGCAGGGAAGGTGGGGGAGAGAGGAAGGAGGGGGTTTTGGGGAGGGGGGAGAGGGGAGAGGTAGCAAAGATGTGGTTGGAGATGGACTGTGGGATGGAGGCGGAGAGACTGGAGGGGGAAGTGGGGAAAGAGGGAGGGAGGGGGGAGGAGGGGGAGGAGGCGTGGTGGTAGAAGACTCTTCAAGGACACTCAGCACAACAGAAGAAGTAAATAAGCTGAGAAATATTTGCACAACATTTTGTATAATGCAGACATAATTCAACAGTTTGATCAGCTGACTGCGACAAGGAGGTATGCAACAAGAGTGCACGCAATGGAATTTCAAGTCTAAGACAATGCACTCTCCAAAATCTCATGGAAAAGCAATGAGCCTTATACAAGCCTCACCCACACACCCAGCACCAACACCAGCACTCTGACCCACACTCGCCCACTCCCACACACCCCACCCAAATCCCCCCACACCCACGCTCTTGCACACATCCACAGCAACCCCATGCACGCGCCGCACCTGGCCGCGGAGGCGGTTGGCAGCGCTGGCCTCGTTCTGGGTGTGGCGCCAGGCGCGGTGGGAGAGAGCGGCGATGCCCTGCACGTGCACCTGCATCACCACCCCCGGATGCACCACACTGCTCAGCAGCACCGCGCCCTCCAACACCCCGCCCAGCTCCTCACACCACCCCCCCACCTCCACCTCCCCTCCCCCTCCCCCTCCCCCTCCCCCTCCCGCCCCCGCACCAGCTCCTGTTCCCCCTCCGCTAGCGTCTCCTCCCCCGCCCCCGCCCGCCGGCTGCGCGCGCGCCTGTGCGCCGGCAGCGGGGGAGGAGGCGTGGGGCGCGGAGAGAGAGGAGAGGTCCGGGGGCATGGCCCATACCTCGGTTTCCTGGAAGCACCTGGAAGTCGCGCGACGAGAAGGCGGGCGGGGAGTGGGAGAGAGGGGGGGAAGAGAAAGCGAGGGAGAGGGTGCGTGAGAAGAGAGTGAGGAGAGGGGCCGAACAAGGTGGGACGATCCTGGCTGGAGGAGTAATGTTTACATGGCCCTATCGCTCTTCTCACCATCCCGCGAAGTAGTGCGCGGAAGTTGGCGCGGCGGTGGCGGAGAGGCAGCGCCCGTCCGCGGCGACGGAGCGCAGCCCCACGCGCCCGCCGCCGAAGCACATCAGCACGAACACGCCCTCTAGAGGCACGCCGTCGCACGACGACCCTGACGACGCCTGCGACGCTGGCGACGCTGACGACGAGGATCCGTTGGTTCCGCCCCCACTGTCCGCTCCGCCAGCTCCCCCGCCCGCGGCGGCGCGCGCGCCTGCGCCTGCGCCTCCCGTGGTGGCGGCATCCGCAGATGGCGCGGAGGTGTCGAGCGGCGGCAGAGGCACCGCGCCGAGCTCCCATCTGTGAAGGGAACGCGGGGAAGAAACGAACAGGAGATTGAAAGATTATCAAAGAGATGAAGTTATGGGGGGAAGGGGGAGGCAGCAAAACAACCGCCTCGTCTCTCGCCACTCGTCAGTCGTTGTTTCGCACTCCGCACTCCGCGCTCGTCACTCGTCAGTCAACTCACCGTCCGTTCGATTCAACGGCCGCCAGCAGCTTGTCCTTCCCCCACCGCAGGCACACCAGCGCGCCGTGCCGCAGCACCGCCGTGCCCGCGCGCCGCGTCGCCCACGCGCGCGTGCGCCCCATGCGGTAGAACGCGTTCCCATACGCCCCGCCCATGCCGCTGCTTCCGCCCAGCCCTCCGCCAACCCCTCCGCCCATTCCGCTCCCGCCGATACCCTGCTCCCCTCCGGCCGCCGCGTGTCCCGCCACCCACTTCCGCGCCACTTCCCGCCGATCCACCATTCCGCCTCCGCCGATCACCCCTCCCCACGTGACCGCACCTCCCCCTGCCGCGCCGCCGCCGCGCTTATCTGTAGGTACACCTCCCCCAGGTAAGACCTTGTCGCTGCCGGCAACGCTACTAAGGCGGTCATCTGTAGGGTCCCAATTAGGTAACGGATCCTCGACCGCGCCAACCGCCACTGCTGACGTGGCACTGCCCATAGACCCCGCCATAGCCGTCACCGCCGGACCGCCTCCCAAACCCGCGCCGCCTGCGGAGTCCAGAAGCCAGGTCTTGCTGATGCTTCCACCTCCCGCCATCGCTGCTGCGTCGACTCTTCCCGCTGCCGCCGCCGCTCCCGCTGCTGCGGCTGCGGTTGACGTGCTTCCGACGGGTCCGGCGCTTGTTGCGCCGCCGGAAGTGCCCCGTGCTCCTGCTGCCTTCGAGCCTGCCGTTTCGGATACCACGCCGCTTGGTACGCCTGGAGCTGCGGGTGCTTGTGGATGCGCCGCCGCCGCCGCCGCTGCCGCTGCCGCCGCGGTCGATAAAGACGATCCTGGCGCGACGTGGTACGGCACGTACTGATCGGGGGGCTTCGCCTCCTTCCTTTGCGGCGTGGTCGCCACGTGTCCAGAAGCAGCAGCCGTGCGTTCGTCGCCGCTCGGCGCGCTTGCGTTGGCACTGCTGCCGCCGCCGCCACTCGGCGGGCCAAATGATGCGCGGAGAGAGTGGTGGGGAGCAGAGGCGGCGGAAGGCGAAGCGGACGCGTTGCGCGGGGAAGCCGCGGAAACAGACGGCGCCGCGGATTGCCGCGCGGGGACGCGGATGGGGGGAAGCGCAATAGCTGGGAGCGGAGCCAGCGGAGGCGACGCGGGCTTAGATGGCGGAGAGGTGACGGCGGAAGGCGGAACGGCATCCGCTCGAGCAGGCGCGCGGGAAGATGACGATGATGACGTGGCAGGGGCGTTGTTGCTGATGCTCCCCACGCCGCCTGCCACGGCGGCAGCGGCGAGCAGCGCATCGACGGACGACAACAGCCGGCGCTGCGCCGAGGAAAGCGAGTGCGTTCTGGCTGGCGGAGCGGCGCTGGCGGGCGTAGCGGAAGCGAGGGGTGCGGGGGGAGCGGCGGCGGAGGCGGAGGGGTACTGGTGGTGGTGGTGGTGGTCGCGGGAGCGGAAGGCAGCGGCGGATGATGAAGACGGGGACGACGGGATACCGCTCCCGCCAACGTTGGCGCTGCCGCCGTGCCCGTGCGTGCTGTAAAAGTGCAATCCCTGCGCTCCTCCTGCGCCGTGCGCATGCGCCGCCGCATTAGCCGCTGCTGCGGCGCGCTGGCCGGCGCTGTGGCTGCTGGAGCGGGCATACGTCGGCGGCGCGGCTAGGACGGACGGCTGCGCAGCATACCCTGTCGCGGAAGATCCTCCCATTCCGCCTCCTCCGCCGGTGCTCGCGGGCGCGGGAGGCGCAACGGCGCTGGCGACGGTGATCATTCCGGGAACTCCCCGCGTAGGGCCAAACGCTCCCCCGACAAAGTTCGCGCCGGTGTTGGAGGCGGAAGATGCGGACGCCCGCGGAGTGCCTGGACGAGCGGGGATGGGGGAGCTTGGGCGCGAGGCGGAGCCTCCGCTCCCCGGAAAGGCGGACAGCGCGTAGGGGGAGCTATGGCGCGGGGAACTGGGATGAGAGGAAGCGGGATTGGGGGAGGAAGGCTGGGGGTAACTGTGCCGGGGGGAACTGGGAATAGGGGAACTTGGGCGGGGGGAGCCCGACCGGGAAGGGTCAACATTGGCGGATGGGGTGAGGGTCATGGGGTGCGGAGCCGGGGGAGCGGGATGCTGAGAGCGGGCAAGTTGCGGGGAGACGATAAGTTGCGCCAGCTGCTGGAGATTGGATCGGCGAGGAGTTGTCGGAACAGAGTGGGAGGAGGAAAAGGAGCGCACGGGGGAAGAGTGGCGCGGGGGGGCCGCGGGGGGCATGAGGGATGCCGGCGGACCCATGGGCGCGGCGGCGGAGGCGGCGGAAGCCGTTGCGCTGGAGGCACTTGCGGCAGCGGCGTGAGCGTAGGCGGAGGAGGAAGAGGGGGAAGTCGCGCGGGCGGAGGAAGAGGATGAGCGAGGGGAGAAGAAAGAGCCCGCGGAGGGCAGTGAGGGGCGGAACATGCTGCGCGCAGACACGCGCGACGGCGCAGGTGACGCAGAGCGGGAGAGCGCCATATTAACACACGGGCAGCTGCTTGGGGGGGGGGAAGGGGAAGGCGGAAGCAAGGCAGAGACGAAGCGGGCAAAGGAGAACGTATTGTGAGAGGAAGCAGGGCAGGGAAGGGACTAGGGAGAAACGGGAATGAGCGCATGCATGTTTATGGGAAGGGGAGGATGTATGGAGAAAGGCGAACAGCGGGGGAAGGCATGTGGATACACGTGAGGTACGGCGGAGGTTGCGCGCATTGTGGGAGCGACGTTGGGGGCTCACGCAGCAACTCAACGCAACTCGCAGACCGGTTGTGAAGACGGCACGGGTAAGCGACATTGGCAACAGCGTGGGTGTATGCTCAAACGCATGTGGGGATACAAACATATATACCTGTCAGTTCACAGCTTCACCTCTTAGTAATGGTTCCCTCGACCTTGTCTATACGCGCCTTGCGAGGACTTTCCTAGACGAAAAGTTCTACGGACGTCTCAACGATGAATCATGTTTGTGGGAGCAACTTCGCATGAACTGATCCCTTTGTTCATGTGAACAAAGCCCAAAGAGGCACGCCACGTCACACCACGCCAGCAAGCCGGCGATGCTGAAAGTTCAATTAAATGGCCACTCACAATTAAGTTAAGGCCGAGTCGGGTTGATTCGAGCATCGATTTGTCGACTATCGCGAGCAAGAGGCGTTTATTAGCAAGTCAACGGCAGAAGCAGAGTTGTCGTACCCTATTTCCACGAGCTGTGGAGGGGAGGAGCTAAAGGAGGAAGTGAACGAGCCTGAAGCAGAACGAGCAGCAGCAGGAGAGAATTGCGGCGAGCGGTGATGGTGACTGGACGGATGGGAGATAAATCGCCTAATCAGCTTCGTGGTCTAAAGACGGGGCATGCGGCTCCTCGTTGCGGGCGCTAGTGCCTTCTCTCCGTTGATCTTTTCTGAAGAGACGCACCGGGAATGGGCCAAAGTCCCAACACTTCGCGCAACCTCTCGGTTCGCCTTCTTAACATTCTATTAGCAGACAACTCGCAACAACGCCTATCGCGGAAAGCTCTCGCCATTTCTGCTTCTTCCTTCGTCCCCTACATTCGGGCTGCACATAGCGAACTGGTGAGGGGATTGGTTGGACGGACTAGCAACCAAACAAGATAGGTTGACGGTGACGACGGACTAGCCCTAACAGTGAAGCAGCATCTTCTGGTGCCATGGCACGGTTGCAGTGCACTGTGTGGTCTGGGATGGGGCGCGACCTGCTCGATGTTCGGAAACTAGGATCGAAGGTTGAACAAATTAGTGACAGTAGTCAGGACCCGTGAGGAAGAGTTGAGGGGTGGACAAGCAGTGTAGCCTAGCCAGCATGGAAGCCAGCATGTTGCGCCCGAGGACCAGGGGGAATTCGGGGTGGGTCAACGACTGGATGATGGGGCGATGGGGCTGCGTGATTGTCTGGGGTCTGGGCTGGGCGGATTGAATGGGTTGCAGGGCGCAACTGCATATACAGTGGTGGTCAGGGCATTGGCTGGACATGCGACGAGAGGCGGTGGGGGTGGTCCTGGCAGGTGGTTCCGCCAACAGCCGGGAGGGGCGCAAGGGCAGCCGAAATAACGCCTTTTGTTGTCCTTTCAAAAAGTTGTTTACGGTACGGCCGACGAGTGGGGTCGGGAATCGGGATTGCAGCGTGTGGCACAAGGAGTGTTCTTGTACCACTCGCCAAAGTTCGACCAATCAGGTGCATAATAAGGGTCTCCCAAGAATGACGGTATGGTTGCGACTCGTAGTTTGTTCCACTATCGAGCGCTGTAAAACCAGGCCAGGCTATCGGTACAAGGAAGCGCGCTTCCGCTGCAATGCATTTGCGACTCGGTGGCCCGTGGCGCATCCCCGCACACCATGAAACTGTTGGCACGCCACGTAATCTGAGATAGTGCGGCCCCGTGTCGGGGCCAAGCAAACCGGCCACGAACAATTGCTTCTGTGATGTCGAATTGCTTATGTGGAACTTCCACGTGCCAGACGCCAACCTCCACACGACCTGCTTGAAGGGCACGGGAGTGTAGGCTGGGTAACCGGAGTGATATGTGGACATTCAAACCAAGGAAGAACAAATGGAAAACCTGAAAATCGAGTTTGCTTAGCACACCTCGGATCCAAACTGTGGTTGCTGGTGTGAAGCAGATATTGGGTGTGGTCGAGCCTGGGAAACCAAAACTCAACGCTTATATCATTACAATATGTTTGTCATCAAATTGGATCTAACCAGCTCGTCGAACATCTAGACTTTCAAAACCTACATTTTCGGGAAACTTGCCCAAGTGAAATGAAATTCCCGTCGAGGTGCAACAAGAATGGTTGGTGCAAGTACAATCCGGTAAGAGCGCTAAGAATGCATTCACAAATACAGAAGTAAACAAACGTATAACAAAGGAAGCCTCCACACTGTTCATGGATAAAATAGTGGGTGAAGAAAGGGTGTTCGTCTGTAAAATGCCACGCCAATGAATGCGGAATATTCCAAAATGTCTTGATCAACCGGGTCGCACTTACGAGTCACGAATAGGCAATGTGGAAAAATGCATCACATTTATTACAGAACGATATTCATGAAGAGTCGTGTTACGATGGGAAAATGTATCTTACAAACCTGTACGTAACAGAAGCACACATCACCAAGGATGAAGACCAAGGGTCGGGATGAACTGAAGGGGCGAAGACAGTTGAACATCGAGATCGACGTAGGAAGGAGCATATGAGAGTGAATTGGTGGGAGCAGGTTTGAAACGGGTTCCCCCGCCGCACGGTTGAGATTCGCTGTTATCATGGAATACATGTACCCCTTAGAGTGCATAGTTAGCTAGTGTTACGAATAGTAAATCGAGAAACACTGTGCATTCCTATCGCTAGCAAGCGAAGAGTACAAAAGCGAGCACGAAGGCGAAGAGTCAGAAGTGATGCGAAGAGTCGCGTACAGTTGGGAGCATCTGGACCGTTCGAGCAGAAGCATCGGGCAGGTGCAGCAACGAAGATTAAGGCTGTAACAAGTTTGTAATCGTATGGAGTCGTACGGTTGTGTTTCGCTGCAATAAGAACATGTACCCCTTCGAGTACATGGTTAGCTAGGAAGTTTGGTTTTCCTCTTGTATTACTATATAAACATATGTATGCCCTCGTTATAATTATCTCAGTCATTTTATATTCATTCAGACCTGAGGTCAACACTTCCGCTGCAAAATTCACTCTGTGCGAACCTTCTTGGGGTGATCCTAGGCACGATCTACTTTCTGATCGCAACATGGTATGAGAGCGACTCAAGAATCCTTCGAACTGCCACCTCTTAAAATCTCAATGAACTAAGGTGGCGTATGGCACACACTCACGCGTAAGGATGGGACTTGGTCGGCGAGTGCCATAAATGACGCCGAATAGTCTTGAACAGAAGCCAACCCCGACTAGGCATGCAACTACATGCGAGCGTGTTCCAAGGCGGATGCATGCTCGGAAACGCTATCGAAAGGCTGCGCCCCACTCCTTCCACGTGCGAATTGTGGTCACACCGAATATTGATGATGCCCTTCCGTTAGCACAGTCCAAAGTCTTGTCTGCCGCATGTATTACACATGTCGGGGTCCCCGTGTCCAAGGTTCGTCGCCACCACTCAAGTGTTGGGCATCGCATAAGCGATGCCGCGTAATTAATACGCGTGGCGTCGTCGTTGACGTTCGATGCAGTGAAAAAGACTTCCACTCCGAAGAGGCACCCCTAACTGTAGTATTCATGTCCGTAGGGTTGAACGGGGGCGGGCTCGCGGGTTTAATATTGATCGTCATTACTGCAACTATTGTCGCTGCCGCTTGATGCCTATCTTCTTCTTCAAAGCCTCGTGTGAGCTCCTCCAGTGGATTGCCGCTCACCGCTTGACCAATGCTCTCGCCTTCTTCAACGAGTGTCTCCTGGCGCGGTTCACCTCGCGACTAGCGTAGCTCGGTGTTTTCTTCACGTAGTCTCTCCACTTCTGTCGTTAACGCCTTCCTGCCTGCCTGCATTTCCGCCAATTGCAGCATCAATGAATCTAAAGCCGCGTGATCCATGTGTCGCAAGCTACGTCTCGTATGCAAGTGGGTATCTGTGACGATCCGGCAACAGTGCAAGCGCAAAAGCTATCGGAGTCGGGCAAGTTTAATTTGAATAATCTTTGCAGCCAACCGCTTTGCAGCCCACCGTACCAGTCACACATGTGCTTCTAAACTACCCTAAAAAAGCGGGGTAAATTAGGAAAGTAGTTATAATATCAGGTGTTGTGAGTTGTCAAATAGAGTTGCGCGGAAAACGGGTAACGAAGCAGTGAAAATATGGACTGACGATTCAATGAAAGGCACGCGATAATATAGTGGGTCAACCTAGCTAGGCGAGAACCTCGGGAACACAAGGTTGGGTGCAGGTCCGGCAAAGGGAAACCGAAGGCGACGCGAGGTTGCTTCGGTGCCAAGCAAACCGGCCAAATGTGCACTTTTGGAAGTAGGGGTTGCGCGAGATAGTCAACCCCATTAAGGATACAGGGTTTTTCCTTACAGCACAAGTTACATCTGTTACGATATGAAAATCGAGTAAGGCATTCCTGTATGCTGCAGGAGCCGACTCTACCGAGTACGAAGTCGAGGAGTCAGAAGAGTCGAAGCGACATCAGTAACCGTCGGATCAAGACCGATGCAGGCAGATGCATTTGAAGTGAAAAGAGCGGGAACAGGTTCGAAACGGGTTCCCGCGCCGCACGGTTGAACTTCGTTGTAATAAGGGATTGTACCCCTTAGAGTACATGGCTAGTCTAGGTCGTTTCGTATTCCGTGTACTCTATATATAAACCCGATGTATGCATGCTTTTAATTATCTCAGTCATTTCCTTTCACTCTGACCTGAGGTCAATGTCAGAACTAGCAGTAGAAAGTAAGAATGAAGAAAGGAAGGGGTTTCACTAGCAAGCAGTTGAGTACATATAGGAAACCCTAGATTGGGCTGTACTCGCTA